CCGTGTGCCCCACACCGCCCACCGGCGCAGACAGAGGCAGTGGGTGCAGAGACCGCCGGGGCCGAGACGCACTGGGTCTGGCTGTTTCTACCCCCGACTCCCCGACGCTCTCCCCACACACATCGCTTCCCACTAGGCTGCGGGGTGCTTTGCTCAAGCGCTGTGGTCAAACCTGGCTGCTTACTCTCCAGAGAGCCGCCCCCACCTTCTCTTGGCCCTTGTAACCCAAGTAACAGGTGCCACACGGGGAACACATGCAGCGCCCACACGGTCTCCACCAGTGTCCAGTGCTGCCCAGGCGGCCGCAATCTCTGGGGTGGAGCCTGGGGTCCAGGTGCTGAAGCTTGCTAGCGGACTGCAAGGCACCCCGACTTCTGGGACACCGGTTGTCTAAATTGACCAGTGGAATCAGAAATAGTATCAGCCTGCTGTTTTCTGATGTCTCCCCTCACCTTCCAAACAGGGCTGATTGAGTCATGGAAGCCAGAGCTGAAGTCTGGGTTGAGGCTGGCACCAGGCTGTTCTGGGGAGTACTTTCTGCACCGCCTGGGGAGCAGGCCCTGTGGCTGCTCCTTGCTGAGCCTTGGTGGCCACACAGACTGGGAAACAGCTGAGAGATCTTGGCCACGCTTTTTCTGAACCCCAAGTTTCCATATTTTAAGAGGACTAATATCCCACCTTCCCAGACTCAATGTGGGGTTAAAAGAGCTTTGCCTTCCTCTTCCACGCTGCCTGCTCACAATAAGCCACATGACAGTTCTGAGTCCTTAGGAAACAGGTAAGACTCACTGCCCACAGAAAGGCAGCTTTCCTTCCCGTCACCTGCCCTCAAAGCACCCACACGCGTCCCAGCCAACGTGGGGAGACGCAGAGCGCAGGGACAAAGCTCCTTGGTCCCGTCTCGTCTCATCTTAGTTTTCTGTTTTTAACTTTAGACTTAAAACTTGAGCGTGGGGAGGATTCCGGAGGTCACTGGGTCCGGCACCCACACTTCAAAGATGCAAGAAGTGAGGGCTGGAGTCTTGGGGGAGACTGGGCCCCTCGGATTGCGCGGCTGAGGGAAGGAGCAGCGGCCCAGCGTGGGGCACCCACCTGGAAGGACTGACAGGACTTCATCTGGCTGTCCGAGAGGGCCAGTGTGCTCTGGATCAGGTTCTGGAGCACCAGGAAGTGGATGTCATCCACGCTGAAAGAGGGGAGCAGAGCGACATGAGACCACAGGCCGGGGGGTACCACTGTTCGTCTAGGGCACATTCGATGCTCGTTAAAAGTTTTAATCTCGCGGCCTTCCCTGATGGCGCAGTGGGTAAGGACGCAGCACTGCAGGCTGGCCACAGCCACTTCAGTGCGAGTTCGATGCCCGCCCCGGAGCTGACCCACATGGCGCGGGAGACCTCTCCTGGCCCACCTGCTGCCCCCTCAGCAGTGTGTTTCAGCGATCTGCCTGTTCTGCTCCCCACTCTGTCTCTGGTGAACCCTCTCACTGCCCCTGCACCTCTGGCTTGTATCCCAGTTCTGTACGCATCAATAAATCAATCTTTAAAAACACAGTTTTACTCTCACAATGGTGACATCAATGCCAGTTACCAGTCATAAAACTAAACAAAATAAATGATGGTTTTAGGCCTTGCTAACTGGCCTGTTGTTGCAGGAAAACAGTTTTAATCTAGTGGGTAAAAGGTAGCGTAACCTTCCGAGCCTGGGGAACAGGCTGACACGACAACTAGCATGGGCCGGGCTTAGTTTTTCTTTCCATCCAACTCTAAGCTGGCCTTCCCCAAAGAAAGGAGGCTTCTCTCTGAACTAGCAGACAAAAGTCAAACCGAATAGCAGTTATCCAACTTGGAAAATATCAAACTGAGCTTTCTAACCAGAATTTTGCGCGGAAAGCTCACAGAGGAGTTGGAACGGTTTCCCCAGCCCTCGGAGGCCCGGCAGGGCTGGGCAGGGTTAGCGGAGCGCAGCTTCCTGGGAAAGGCCCAGGAGTAGGTATATTGGTCTTCACGGGCTGGCGGGTGGCTGGCACACCCAGCACCACTCTGTGCCAGAGGAGAAGGCCGCGCAGAGAGCACACGGCGGGAGACAGCGCGCCCAGCAAATGCTTTACTCCCCCTGGCCCGGCAGCCCCAGGGCACGCGCGGCAGCACTCGCCTGGAGAGCTCGTCCTCTTTCCTGATCTGCTCTCTCTCGTCTCCGATCGCCAGCACGCGGTATCTGCGTGAGGGGGGCAGGGCGTGAGGGCGCAGCCGGCCTCCACCAGCACAGCCGGTGCTCTCAGGGCGGCTGGCTGCTGGCTGACATGTTACTCACTACAGGTCAGACATGTACACGTAAGCCGGGAGCGAGACCGTGCCACGCTCTGCACATCACAGGAACAGGCTACGAAGATGAGGGCTGAGGGCTACGAAGACGAGGGTCAGGAGTCGGCCTGGGAGGAGTAAGCGGCAGGACCCAGCGCTGGCTGCCGGAGGCGGCGTGGGGCACGGGTGACCGCTGCGGACCACTGCAGACCGGGCAGGGGTGAGGTGCATGTCTGCAGAGCTTTGGGCCTGTAAGCCCCAGAGCAGATACAAGATGTGAACCTACTTTATCTCAACAAACAGAATTTGGGGGAAAAATAAAGCTTTGTCTGCTTTCATGACTAAAAGTTGCCCCACAGGTTATTAAAAATACATGGGGTTACAAGTTAAGACAGGTCGCCAGGCACGTGAACATCTTTAGGGATGAATGCACAGCACACCGTCTGGGAGTTCTGGGAACAGCTCACCGCGAGAACTGAAGCCCACAGTTAGCTAAAGGATGCCAGCTCTGAAAATGGCCATGCTGGCTGCTGAGGCCTGGCAGCAGGCACGTGATAAGCTGGGTGAACGGAGGGGGGAGCCACTCCAAAAGCCTTGTACCTCTACAAACAGGGGCTCAGGGCGAACAGCCTCTCTTTACGGAGGAAATCCGAGTTCTCCTGAGAGAAGCGGAGGGCTCCAGAGCCCGCCGAGACAGCAGGCCGCGTGGCGTGGCCTGCTCCCGACCAGGGAGAGGCCTGCGGGTCCTGGCCGTGACAGTCTCCTGCCCAGGAGCATCACACAGACCTGCCCAGGCGCAGCTCACCTGGCAAACAGCTCCTGGAGAGTGTCTGGGATGTCAAGGTTAGGATTCTTTAGCGACGACGTGAATTTTTCTTTAAGCTTCTCCACAAATTCTTTAAACTCGTTGGCACAAACCTTTCAACAGACAAGGAGATGTTAAGCCCTTCCTCTCCCTGAAGGGAGGCTCACTGAGACACATCAAGGAATATTTTGCAAGAAACTCCTGTGGCAGGGACCTCCCAAAAACAGACCGAGAGCGGCCCACTGCTGTCTTCCTGCCTCCCCAGGGCAGCGAGTCTGCCAGGAAGAAGCCAGAAGTGCGGACGGCCCCACACCTGCACTGCCAGCCCTTTCCCACAAGTCCTGGGGGGACTCAACATGTGCCGCACGGTCCCCAGAGGGCCTGGGCCAGCAAGCCTGCACTCCCGTCACCTCCCTCCTCCCGGTCTCTTCCCACCTGGGTCGCTGGTGGGAGCCAGTCTCCTTCCTCTCCACTCCCACGTGCCATCACCAGCCCTCATCGTCCCCTCCTCTGCAGTCATGCTGTGACCGCCCAGCCCAGACCTGGTCCCAGTGCAGTCTCACTGCCTCGCCACGTCCAATTCCAGAAACCCGGTGCCCCAACACAGCCCAGAGTGAATCCACACTCCGTCCCTTGAGCTCGCTGGCCACCACGGCCTCGGGCGCCCGCCGCCTCCTTCCTTTGTTGCCGGGGCCTCAACACCTTGTGTTTGCTGGCTCAGTTCAGTGCTATGTCTATGAAAAGTCCTCCGTAGTAAATGTCTCTACATCACCTACTTCTGGAGTCCGCCCTGACTTGGTTTGGGGAGACAGGCTCCTTAGGACAGTCTCAAACAATAAGGCCATCACAGGGCTTCTGCAAAGGCTGTCCTAGTAGTCCAGTGGCCCCCACTTCTTCCTACTGGATCTGCGGTGGTGGCCTGGGCTCCGGCAGTCCCCGGCAAACCATGACATGGCTGGCTTGAGGACGGAAAGCCGACCACTGGGGACCTGGAGTGAAGTGACAGAGGAAGCTGGGTGCACGATGACATCTCTGCTCTGCTGCACAGCCGGGCCTGCCTACCTCTGGGCTGCCAGGTTTGGGGCCTTCTGTTGCTACCAGGTTGCTTTTTTCTGTCACGTGCTTCACAAGGTCTCCGGGTGCACCTCTACGATGTCAGCAGACCCATGCTCCCCCCAGAGCGGCTGCGCCTTCCTCTGCTGCCCACTTCTCTGCCTGTGCCACTGCCCCGGGCTCCCCGAGGTGAGGGCTGGACCTTCACTGTGAATCGTCCCCCGTACGCCCCGCAACGAGCAGAGCATGAACAGAGAGCCAAAAGGCAGAGAAGTGTGGGTGCAGAGGGCAGCTCCCTCCCCGTCAGCCCCCACCGCCCCACCCGCCGCAGAACACTCAGAGAGAAACTCGCACCCTGCCCACAGGCCCCCACAGTCTAGCTGCTCGCCATTTCCGAGGGGCTGCCCTACTTTCTTAGCGAGAGGCCACGACACAGGCCTATAAAGTGGCTTTTCAGGATGGATGCTGGGCAGAATGATATACAAAGTCAAAGAACTGACAAGCTGATTTCCCAAAGGAGCAGGAGAAAAGCCCATGTCTGCCTGACCAGCAGAGGCAGCATGAGACCAGAGGCCGCAGCGGGGCAGACACAGGCCAGGGCATCGTGCGGGCCCACCTTAGGGTCTTCATAGTCACACTTCCGGTTCATGAAATCCCCGATGAGAGCCTTGTCCTGGTACACCTCGACCAGGCAGACCCTGCAGAGAAAGGACAAGGGACCCAGGGCTGACGTCACTCTGAGTGCAGAACCGCCGCTTCTGCCCTAACATTCGAGCCTGCGCTGGGCAGGAAGGACAAATTACTTGCTGTCAAGTGACTACAGCTTTCAAACACGAAGGACCTGGGGTCAGCAGAGGGGCCTCGCTGCGCACACTGTGCCCCTTGGCCTCTCTGAGCTCCTCCTCCCTGTGGGAGCCGAGAGTAGTAACGCTCACCTGCCTCTCACCGGACCTGGCCAGGACCCAACCGGCTGACCTCCATGGAAGCACACGGACATGGACACACGTGCGGCAGGCTTGCTGCTGAGAGCTCGACCACACAGCGCTAACTGCCCCCGCCAGTCTGCCTGTCTCCGGGATGCAAGGAGAGCCTGCCCCGCCCAGGGAAGCGAAGAGGAAGCAGCCAGCGTCTGCTGGGCTCCCAGGAGCCGGCCCCTTGGACCCCAAAGGGCTCGCCAAGGAGAGGCTGGGACTCCTTTTACAGATCGGGGAAGTCAGGGCCCCTGAGGTCACACACAGGCCGAGGGCTGGGCAGGCAGGGTAGATGCGGCGCCTACTGCCATCACTGTTTCGGTCACTGTGACGAAACAGCCTCAAGATAAACTCCCTGCCCCCGGCCCCACAGCTCCAGACTTGCAGGGAGACCCAGGCCTGCCACCCTGCAGCCCCTCGCACTGCACTGCCTCAGGCTGCTATGGGCAGAACCAAAGCATCAGACAAGGGCCCAGGCTCCAGATCTCAATTCACTGCCAATCCCTGTCACTGTGGCCACCTGGCATCTTTTTTCAGGGCCTGTTTCCACTCAAAGTCGAAGAACTGACAAGGTGATTTCCCAAATGAAATCAGGAAAGGCCAAGAGTACAGAGGCTGCACTCAGGCCCCTTGGCCACCTACCCTGACAGTTCTCTACAGGGGTGGTTTGCTCCCCAGGGGACAACTGAACATTTCTGGTTGTCACAGTAGTGGGTGGGGGGTGCTCCCGGCAGTTTGTGGGTAGGGCAGAGATGCTCGCACATCCCCTAGGATGGCCCCCAATAAAGAATTACTAGCCCATGATGTCAACAGTGCTGAGGCTGAGGCCCTGTGAGAGCTGCTCCCCCCGCAGTCCAGGGCTCGGCTGACCTCTCCCTACAGTCTGGCTGACTGCAGGCTGCCATGGCCCAGCCTCCTCCCTCCTGCTGACCTGGGGCCCGACTGACCAGCTGGCAGAGGCATTTCTCTCCAGGTGTGCCACGTGTCCCCTCTGGCCCCACTCTCCTGCTGGCTGCAAGCGTGGGCGCCTGCCCGTACCTCCCACATGCTCTCTGGTCCCCCCACTCATGCTCTACCTGTGGAGGGAGTCACAGGAAGATCTGAAAGGGCTGGCAAGAGCTTTATGCCCCAGCCCTGTGGGCGGATGGGTGAGGCAGCCTTGCTGGCAACCCCCACCTGCTGCGCTACTGGGCACCTGCATCTAACACCGGACCCTGAAGCAAATGGGATGAAAGAGGATGGACCAGAAGCCCTGGAATAACCTTGTCCTGGAGTTAAGAACGTTCCAATAACTCACTTGTAGTTCAGGTAGGCTTGTGGATTTTTGACTATGTAGCGAGCTCTTCGTCCAACTGAATGAGATGTTTTGTCCAAAGACTCTTCAAAGGTGGCGTGCAAAATGTCCCGCACAACCTGCCAGGGCACAAACGGGCCCTTCACCTGGATCAAAGGCAGAACCAAGAGGGAACATCAGCACCTCAGAGCGCACGTATGTATGAGTCACTAACACAAAGCGGGGAGGTGCGTTCTGGGGAGCTTCTCTCAGTGGAGACTCAAAATCGTCACCTGTACTGTCACATTTATGGGGCAGTGACTTTGTGCCTCGCCAGAGCGAGGGCTGGGCATGGAAGAATCAGACGCACTCAATGTCCAGTGGGGAAAGGCCAGCTTTAGGCCCTAACAAGGATGCTCACGTGTCTGGAATTGCGTGAGTCGGGGAGTTCTGGTACAGCAGAGTGCCCAGTGAAGGGCGATACAGGCTTGACCACAGGCTGGGCAGGGCAGACGTTGCGCCCGTGCGTCACACAAGTGGAGCTGGAAGGCACTACTTTAGCAGGCCGGGGCTGTCTCGCCGCAGCATCTGCGAAGGCAGAGCTGAGGCAAGGAAGGGGCTTGACGACAAGGTTACTTCCTTGGCCCTCGGAGGAGGGAGACAAAGAACTCATGCAAGTTCAAGTGCGCAAGTGGGGAGGCTCCACTGACATGGGCAGGGCTCCCTGGCTCCTCCTACATCTGACGTGGTGAAAACCACTGCAAAGGAGTTAGAGCCATGGGGGCAGCATACCGCGCCTCAAGGTTCTTCGTCACAGAAAGGACTGGGTTGCAATTTAGAAGGGGACCGAGGGTGAGAGAGTCTGGTCTACTGAGCCTGCAGCCAAGGAGTACAAGGGGACAGGGCTCCCCTGCGGCACCTCTCCACGGGCAGGCTGTGAACAGGCTACAGGCCTGACCCCCAGGATGCTGCCCGTCGACTCCACCTGGGGCTACCTGGAAGGGGCCTGGGCCGAGGGCAGAGCCCACTCTGGTGGCATCAGAACACACTCTGTAGGAAAGCTCTCCCCCATGCCTTGCCGCAAACTGGAGCGCTCAGGCCAGCACAACAGGGTGCACCCAGCAAGGCCGGGGGAGGTGCCCTGTGGACTCGGGCTCTGACTGCCATTAGGGGAAAGAAGCATTTATGAGAGACAGAACAAGTCCCTCCCCACCGCTAGGGACTCGGGCCAGGCGGGAGGACGCCACGTGACAGCATGGGAGAGAGGAAGGTGGAGAGGAAGGTGGGTGACCCGAGAGACCGCGAGGAGCCTGAGGCGACTGTCCCGACGCACACCGACTGCGTGAGCACCGTGCACAGGCGCCACGCTGGGGGCTGCAGCCGCGAACACAAACAGAGTCTCTGCCCAGAAGCAGCCACTAGGGGGCTGAGAGGCGCCAGAGCACCAGAGCGGGCATGTAAAGCAGATCTCCAAGGCCCAGGAGGGGCACAGCAGTTACTTCCACTCGGCAGGATCAAGGAGGCCTTGCCAGGGAGGGTAAGCAGTTTCTGAAAGATAAGCAGGAGTGTTCCAGGCAGGTGGGACCGGTGGAGGGCGCAGGAAGGGGTGGACTCGCCGCGAAGCCAGAGACAGGCTGCCTGCAGCCCGCACGCGGTCGCCGAGGGCTGCAGGGAACGTGCAAAGGAGGCGCGGGGGGGTCACTGGCCTGGGGCAGCGCGGCCGGGCAGGATGGCCGAGTGGGGAGGCAGGAAAGAGCGC